GAGTAAACGATAAAAACGATAACAAAATAACGCTGAAAACCGATAAAAAACCCTGAAAACTATACATTTCACACCTGAGCCTCAACTCTCGCAGCCCGGTACCAAACGACCGGTACCGGTCCGAGGCCCGGGGGTCGGGGACAGTCTGTGCTCTGGAACCAGTCTCCTGGAGAGGGGACGGACTCTGTCCTAGTCTGGAGCTGCTCTTGGTCCGGCGAGAAAGAGGTCTGGGTTTCTCTTAGGCTGTTGCCCCCACGACCCTGCCCCAGATAAGTGGAAGAAAATGTACGGATGGATAAAATCCTCACTCGCTGCTAGTAAACATAGATAACTCAGTTCTTTGGGGTGAACCTGTTCTCTTTTCTTTATTTTCTGTCATATATGAACCGTTCCAGCGGCGCATCCTCGTATTAAACATGTCTTAAATTTGAAATAATGATGTCAGTGCACGTCGAGGTAATCCACGTGAGCCAGAAGCTTCAGATTGATACCGTTTGTCTTCTTCTCTTGGGTCTGCATTAAAGCTGCACAATTAATCAAATTTTAATCTTGATCTCGATTTTGGCTTCTCACAGTGAAACGACTGCGATCGAGCGATACTGAAAACCCACGCTCTGCCAAAAGAACGCAAAGCAAAAAGGAATGAAGCGCTCCCTTAATCAGCACCTGACGGTCCCGGCTGCTTCCTGCGCTGCGCGGATTGCAGTGTCTTAGATGAGGCTGGATGAGTAACACCAGGTTAAAGACAGATTTATAACAAAATCCACACGTCTGGCACAGCTTTAGTCTGCAAACGCGCCCCTCAAAGCGGATCAGCTTTAGGGCAAGTGATGTTAACCAAGAACATATGCAGAGAGTGCTTCAGACTCTGTAGCATAAAGCAACACCACTAACTCATTCAACTGCCTGAAAACACACGGCAAACTGCAGCGTAATTAATGCACGAAGGCCAAGAGAAACAATGCGTGAACCGTCCAACACTGACTCAGACGCCCGTAGCGCACACCTGTCGGCAAAGACCCGCTGAAATTACCAACCCGACTGCACCAATGTTGGCGACAGATGTGTCCGGTCAACACGATGACTAATGTTTCTTCAGGAAAACGGTCAGAATATTGGTCAAAGGTGCAACACCTGTGCTGTATGCAACGTTTCCTTTCTCTCAGTTTTACTCACACCTTTCATGCAGGTGCAATGAATGAAGTGAAAGACGTTATACTTTTAGGAGATGCATCTAAGTCAGGAATCAACACACTGATACAAGTTTGTGTTAAGCTTTTGTTTTTCTTCTAAGAGTCGAATCGAGGTGAATGAGGAGGGTCCACTTTATTTACAGATGTGCAGATACGAAAGCAGCGTTCTGCTTATGATGTCAAAGACAGGAGAAATCCTTTTTTGGTCATCGGTGAGCACACACACCTGCTATTTGAAACGTCTGTTTATGACGGCTTCAGCTTTCAGACAGGAACGAGCTGAGCGCCGGCATGAAATAAGGATTATTTTCAGAAATAAAATCCCTAGAATAAAAACGAACGGTCTCCTTTAATGAAGACGTCCACAGATTCCGACAGCTGTAGAAACATTTATCCAGCTCTGACACCAATGACGCTTTTAGACGACTGAACTAATCTGTTCCTGAATATAGGTTGGACTTTAAAAGTTGTCCAGAGAGGGCTTTAAATGGGGTGATGAAGCAAACACAAATAGTGCATTAAAGTGGGACATTAACTATCAATGGATTTGAGGCTCTACTCAGCTCAGACGCCACTAAATGCATATATTAGCAGCATGAATGGACTCAATGCTCCTTAACAAAATCTCATCTTTGGTACTCGCTAGGAAATACATGTGATCCCCCAGAGCAAATCACTGCACCGAACTTTTTCAGAGCTGAAAGGGTTTTCCTGTTGTTAGTCAGTACGGGGTTAGGGTGCACATCTACTGGCACCCTGCTGGTAAACCCAAAGGAAACCCTCACTGCACAGTACCTGCAAGGGCAAATAATTGGCAAGCTAACACCTTCTAGTTTCTGAAACTAAGCTCGTTCACTGGTTATCAGGTGGAGAGGTCACATTAAATGTTAGCTAGCTTCAGTTAGCTCTGCGTCCTCACAGGAAGAAGGTTGTGGGTCGACTCTTTCTCTGGACACCCTGGATTCCAGCTAACAGGGAAAATACTGCATATAAACTAAATTAAGGGTGTAACTCTGTAACCAACTTTGCACCATTTAAAAACATTGTACCATTATTCTATGGTACGCTCTCTCTAAGATACAAGTGTCCCACATCAGGAATGCTTTGGTAACACACAACTGTACAGACTTATGGCTTCAGCACTCCTCACCCCGACCACCATCTGTCGGGAGAAGTCGGCTAATGCTAAACATCCTTTCAGAGAGATGACTGGTTGCCTTCACCAGAGCTGGATCTGAACAGTGAGAACATTTGTTGGATGTTAAGGTGTTTCATGAAGTCCAGAACAAACAGAAGCTGGCGAAGAACTTGCAACATTACAGATAATACAGAAACCATTTAGCACAGATATGAATACGAGCAGGAGTGCATTGACGTTTTAGCTTTCCCTGTTTGTGTCACTCAGGCACAAAAATCTCTGAAACCCACAGCGTTAGTGGGCTCTGCATCAGCGACAAGCAGCTGTACCCTAAAAAAGGCACACAAAGGAAAATCTGTGGAATCATGTGATACTTTTACTCTTCTGTAATCACTCTGACTTGGACCACCGGTGGACTGATGCACAGCTCCCTCTGCAGCCACACGGTGCTTCGATGTTTTGTTAAACATGTGTCTGCTATTCCAAGACCTGCAGGCAGCTGTGAGAAAAGGATACATTCGTGGATTTGCCTCCTTTAAGCAGCAGGGGAACATCTCCACTTTATTTCTCACATGTGAATTTTCCAGGTTTTCTTGCTCTACTATAATATTAAAGCACTGTGGTGGCGAAGGCGATTATTTCACAGCCAATGAGAAACAGGGTGACCTGTCACAGATGTACAGGATGGCAAAGCAAGAGTCGTCCACAGAGCCAGGAGCGCATGGCTGCTGAAACATGATCTGCAGTAATGTAAGATGGAAAAAGGGCCGCGTGGGTCCTGCCTGCGTAATTAAATTGCTCCACAGCTCTTTTTCTGCATTTAAAGTATGCAAAACAGTGTCCATATGTCTGCTTTCTACTGCTTACGTGACAGTTTCTTGTTTCTCTTTGTTAATAAAGTAATCAATGCTAATGTATTAATGAGATCAGGGTAGCAGGTCTGATACATTATATATTCCAGTGGAAAATTTCCACAGCATTTAAAAGGCTCTGTTTGCATGTTGCAAATAATCACATGGACTGCAGCAGCCTCCGTGAGGCTCGGTGCGCAGGTGGAGCCGTGGCTTTAATCGGAAACACGCGCTGGACAAATGGGGCTCAAATATTTCCATTAGCTGCTAATCTGTTGATTAACCCTTTAACCTCACGGCGCTCAGCCCGGTTACATCGACAGAAACTCGTAAGCAACAGCAGAAATGTTCGTGTAACTGATTATTGTGCGGGGACCGCACTGCTCCTACACTGACGCCGACCGCGGCGTTTCCCCGGAGGCTCCAAACTTTCCCGTGACCACGGCGGCTGCTCTGACCTTTAATGTGCTCGTTGACGACGCTCTCCAGCCGGTCCAGCCTCTCGATAATCCTCAAGGTTTCACCTTTGCTGTCCTCCTCCAACTTTCTCTCCGCCTCGCCGCCGCCGCCGCTCTCCGCAACTTTAGGACCGCTGTTGGCCACGTAGTTGGTGATCCAGCCGACGTACAGCAGGCACACGATGTTGGTCATACCGCTCAGGATTACGCATGTCGACACCAAAGTTTTAGTTCTCCTTGTGCACAGCATCGCGACGTCCCTCCATGGGCAGGCAGGTGGATGCCAGGAGAGGACGCGCTCGAGAAATGTGTCCAAACGGAACTAGAGCGAGTCAGTTCGCCTGCGCGCGCTCACGGGCCCGGATCAGCATCTCCACATCAGCGCTTTCCACCGCCGCACGAGCGACACTTCAGGTTTTAATCCCAGAGATGAAAACACGGTGTCCCGCTAAGCTACCGGCGAGTTCAGCCGCAAAGCCGTGAGACTCAGCAACCCACCCCCCCACAACCCCATCCCACCGCTTCGTAGCCCTTGCACAGCCCAATCGGAGGGGAGGAGGAGGGGTTTGCTGGAGTCTGCCCGCCCCCCCACACAGCTGGAGCGCACAGAGGAGGGCGGAGGGGAGGAATGTGAGGAAGCTCAAGTGCAACGACCCAAACAGCGACGATCGGCGCGGTAACGGAAACCAAACCGGTTCGTGTAAGTAAGGAGCGGCATACCGCGTGTGTGCGCGAGCGCCGACTCTACAGGTGAGTCTACAGGTGAGCCTACAGGTGAGCCTGTGGGTTCACGTGTGAGCAGCTTGGTGAAAGATTCTGCTGGTGAGCTTCACTCCTGTTTTATTAAAAATCACGACTGAGAAAATTATTTTTTATCATCCAAACCACAGTAGGAGGTCATCTGTACACGTCACATTTATATCTGCATTGGCTGTAAGACATATATATAACTTATTGTGTGTAGCACAAGCTTAAAGGTGAAACATCCCGGAAGTGTTCAGTTCAGATCATATTTGAAGCTTATTATTAAGCACGCTTCACTTTGTAGTTCTCATTTAGTTTGAGTTATATTTAGCTGCGAGCTGCATCATCACAACACAAATCGACAGCTATTGGGCCATCACGCGTTTGATTATTTTTTTTAGAATACTCGTGATGAACATCATCAGATTCAATTCATATTTAGCCAATTTTATGATTGCAGAGGTTCTGATTGGGCACTGGCACCGGGTTTCCTCGGTGAGCGTGAATAACTGTTGATTTAGTCATTTTTGCTGTGAATGTCCATGTGAAAGACACAATATAACTATAAATATAAATACATAACTCTATTTCAAAAAGACCTTGTGTAAAATATAAATAAAGCACAGTGTAATATTTAAAAGGTGTTTAAAGCCTGTATTGATTAAAAATATATAGTCATGTTGAATTTCATGCCATCGACATGATAAAAGTCGGTACAATGAGGAAACGTTAATCACTGTGTTGCATCACTCTTTCTTTTAACAACACTGTGTGCATCTTTGGAACCGAGGGGAACAAATCCTCTGGGTTTAAAAGTCGAATGTTTTCACATTCACACTTGTTCGTCTTTAATAACGTCCCAGAGGTTTAGCATCGCAATAACTGTTTAGGAATTACAGCCATTTATATACACAGCCCCCTTTTCAAAGTCTCAAAAATAAATGAACGATTGGCAGACAAGCAAGAGTATCCTGCTCGCTGTTAGGAGTAAAAGGTCTAGATTCCAACTGTTGAACTCCCAGTTGATCCAAATTATAGTGTGAAAGCATTCCAACAGTTTCTCAAGGCTAAGAATACGATATTGTTCCACATGCATGTGTAATATGTACGTCCCAGCCCTCCATCAGGTAATTCTCACATTTCTCACTGACATACTGTAACTCATCATGCAGATTATAGAATGATATCCATTATTACTTATAAAAACTCACCTGGTGGGCCTTGATGTGGGTGGCATGTGAGTCTTAGAGTTCATTCTGGAAACAATGAACAGGTTTTCCGTCTGCAGCTGCAAATAAACATCGTGACACCATTTTTACAAAATCGACTGCTGCAGGTTTCACTGTTTTCCACATTACTCACAGCGAACATCTTCAGATTTAACTTTATTGGCCTCAGAATCTCATCTCTGATTTTTGCGGATGATGTGGTTCTGTTGGCTTCATCGGGTG